TGGCGCGATAAACTTGTAAAGTAAACACAATCTTATATGTCACGTTGCGAACGTGAAAGCTTCAACGTCAACGCATTCAATGGCTGACGTAATACCTTCTTTTAGCGTATTTATCATTCCCTTCAAATCCAACGCTTCGATAAAACCAAAATAAAACATATTTTACACATAATAAAGAAAATAATATCTGTAACATTGTCCGTGTATTAATTTTTTCAACAGCTTTTGGCGAATAAACATCACAGGTTGCGCGATTCAAAATTTGGCCGACAAAAAGTTTGCGTCTGGTCACTGACGAAACTAAAACAAAAAATAAAATAAACCCGTGCAGAACATGAACCGCGCTGGGCCCATGGCCGCGCAGTTAAAAAAGCACAGACAGTGAGTGCATTGACCAAATAAAATGATCACTGTATCGACGACATGTTTGCTTTGTGTAATCCTTGTGTGCGCGCTGAATAGCATTAGCAGGAGAGCGCGCGGAAATTGTGTTTGGCAACGTCAAAGCAGAGAAGCTAGACAAAGCGAACAACAAAACTTAGTACAAGGTGAGATATGTGAAGGCTGACCTTGACTAACGTTTACGTTGACTGATGGTTAGCCGTGGATAATCACGAGACAAACACAAGACATACTAAAAATTCCAGTTAAGTAATGAACAAATTTACCCTCGAAATACTTTTCTCGGTGGCAAGCTACAAAACTGGCGTCTTTTGTCTACACCTTAATTTCGGATGACATCAGATAAAAAATAAAACCTCGACAAAGTTTTGAACAGCGCTCAATTGTTTTTCGATATTGTGATCTTAACCAGTATTGTATTGTATTGTCAGCTGAAAGTCGAATTTTCTTCCTTTGGCGTGTATGATCGGCTTTTCATCAAACTTATCAAGTTATAAACGGTACAATGGCAGTCTCGAAACTCAGTGAAGTGGGAGAGAAAGCTTGACAAAAGCAAGAACGTAAACTTCCGGTCTGCGTCTGTTCCTGCCTCACAATCGTCTTTGATTAAAAACAATGCCGGGGTAATTTTTTGTGGTCGAAACTGAACGATGAATTTAAAAGGTATTGAACCAGAAATTTCGCTACACCATAAATTGTTAAGTCTTCTGTATTCTTTCCTTATAAATCTAACAAACACAATTCGAAGTTTCCTACGGCGCAAGAAAGAGAGGGAAATATGCCATTTTTAATCTAATTATTGTATTTGCCGATGTTGCACTCTTTGTATGACGTCATGCCGCGATACTTTCGATTTCAATATATTTTGAAGGAACGCTTTGGAAAGGCTTCCCTTGCTGTACTAACACATGCATGCTGCATTTCGCTTTTCCCGTCAAACAGGGTAAATTTTCTTCCCTTTATCATGTCAGGTTTTATTTGCAATTTGTAGATTGTAATTTAAGTTTTGTCGTACTCGATGCAAGTCTAAGGTCAACGCCAAACTTTAGGCGAACAATTTTTGGTGAAATACAGCCCGACGTGATCAATCGATGAAACCGATAATCGATAACAATCGATGGCAATCGATATCAATCGATAACAATTAATCGATTGATATCGGAAATCGATGACCAATCGATGGCCAAAAAATTTGTGTTTTTTAATTGCCATCGATTGTCATCGATTACCATATCTTTTGGGGAGGTAAAAACATGATTTGACAGGAGAAATATGGTGACATGTAATTGTGAAGATCATCGTTACCATCAACAACAGTAACAA